GCTGGGATCACAGATGAGGGCCACTGTGTTCAGTGTCAGCTTCCTTGATTTGATTATAGTTATGTAAAATTTGAAAGGAAGCATTGGTCATTTTTGGTGACTAGTCATTTTTGATGACTAATTTACTTTAACAGTATCATTTTAAACTTCTAATTTCCTTTAAACTAACATTTTTTTTGTCATTCTATTCAAATGTCTACTGACAGTAACAGTGATAATGTGCTATGAACACTTAACCACCCACACTAGAAGTTTAAATCTAAGTTCTTTTTGAATGCTGTTTTGGTGAATTTCAATGTGGGAGGTGAGATGATTTAAAACTTCAAATTTTCTATTATAGTCAAAGGCATAATTTCTCTGACATCTCTTTTCATTCTGAATAAGGAATTACACTAGAATAATGTTTTTAAATAAAATTTGTCCACATAATGACCATTATTTTTACATTTCGATTCTACCCAAACTAGAATAGCTCAGAAGCATTTATTTACTTATCATAACTGTTAAGAAATTACAGTCATTACACATACCATTGCTTCTCTCCTACATCGTGCTGGAAAGAAAGAATGCATTGTTTTGTTGCTTCAGAAAATCTTCTGTATTCCAGTCTTTGTATTTCATGAATTGATTGAGACTTTGGACAGCTGAGCAAAGTATAGAACATCTCAACCCAACCTCTGCTTCCCAAGAGCTTACTTCCTAAAGAACATTCTTTTTCAACACGGTTGAAAAGGAAGACTATCTTTCTTATTTAATGTCTCTACAACATAGAATGTAGATGTTACAGAGTTGGTCTATGGAAGAGCACAAGGAATATGCTCCTAGGTTGCAAACCTGTACAGCACGTTGCTGAACTGAGTACCATAGGCAATTGTAATGAAACAGTAAGTAACTAAACATAGCATCCACACAGAGCAAAAGTACAGTAAAACCATGGAATTACAATCTTAAGAGACCAGTCACATATGTGGTTTATACATCATTGCCTAGTGCATGACAGTATGTACTCAATTACAATGAGGATTAGTGCTACAAGGAACCATGGAGCCTATGAGCGGGTAATGGGGATGCCTAACTTACTCAGGGGTAATCAGAAAAATTCTCCCTGAAAAACCACAGCTACGCTGAGATTTGAAGAGTGACGTGGAGGGTGTGGAGGGCGGCAAAGGGGAGGGGAATTGCCAGACCAAGGGGCAGTAAGAGTTTTGCAGGGAAGGGGACGAGAAGCCAGGAAGGCTGAGGCTGGCAAGCTGCTGGTGGTGGAGGCACTGGGAGATCAGAAGGGCGGGGCCACTGGCGAGTAACTAGTGAGGGCAGAGCGAGGCCAGAAGGGTGAGCTGAGAGCAGGTCGTGTGGGACCTCTTGTGATGTCAGACTTCATCCTAAGACCATATGGCCACTCGGGGGTTTTAAGCAGGGCGGGAGGGACACGCAGGCTGCAATGTGGCTCTCACAATGGAGAGGGGCCATCGTGCAAGCCAAGAGATGAGTTAGGGGCTTTTGCAACAACCCAGCAAAAGTTGTAGAAGTTTTGGGTTCTGAGCTACGGGAGGTGCCCGTGCAAATAGGAGGATGTGGTGGCTCTTGGAAAACGAAGTGGACTGGTTTTGATGTTAGTTGGATTTGAAAGAGAGAGAGTCGAAGAAGATTCAGGGCTCTGCTCTCAACCAGCCAACAGCCCGTCCACCAAGGTGGGGTGTTCCTCTTCCTGTTCCAGAGGTGGAGGCTGTTTGGGGGATGCTCGAAAGCCCCTTGTGTTGGACGAGTGGTGTTTCCCAGGTGAAACGGGCAGGAGGATCATCGTCTGGTTCTCAAGAGAGGGGGCTGGGCCGGGAGTCGTGGCCGTGTGGCCAACCAGGGGCCTCGGGAGTGCGGACAGGGAGAAGGGCCCAGAACGACCCTCTTGAGCCAGTGGCTCACTCCCTGCTCCCAGCGCCAGCACAGAGAAACGGCGTGACCGACCAGGGGTCTCGATGCGTGTCCAGCACACACGCACACAGTCTCCCAGCCAGTACGTTTTGCTTTCATGAATACAACATAAAAATGTCAGAATCCGGCCGGGCGCGGTGGCTCACGCCTGTCATCCTAGCTCTCTGGGAGGCAGAGGCGGGCGGATTGCTCAAGGTCAGGAGTTCGAAACCAGCCTGAGCAAGAGCGAGACCCCGTCTCTACTATAAATAGAAAGAAATTAATTGGCCAACTAATATATATAGAAAAAATTAGCCGGGCATGGTGGCGCATGCCTGTAGTCCCAGCTACTCGGGAGGCTGAGGCAGGAGGATCACTTGAGCCTAGGAGTTTGAGGTTGCTGTGAGCTAGGCTGATGCCACGGCATTCACTCTAGCTTAGGCAACAAAGCGAGACTCTGTCTCAAAAATAAATAAATAAATAAATAATGTCAGAATCCTAGTTAAGGCATTTTCATGGAAAAAGATGAGCTGGTTTACCTGGACAGAGAAATCCGAGTCAAGCATGGCATCTTCGTCTGAGTCAGGGCACCAAAGGTGTCAGGGCGGGAGTCTGCCCTCGGTGCTTGGTGTGCTCTTGGCGGAAGAATGGCCAGACACACCAAAGTGTCAAGTCCAGGCTGTTCTCCTGGTCCTCTGACTCCTTGCTTGGAAAACTCACCAGCAAGGCCAATACGACAGAGTAACCCCAGGCTGGGAGCAGTTTCGCAAGATCAGCTCTTTTTTGTAGAATAAAACCGGTCTGTCTCCGCGAGTGGAGAGAGACAGACCAACTCACTGACGCTCTCACTTCCTCCTGACTTTTTGTATTGTTTCCTTTTATTAGCCCAGTCTGGAGGAGGGCTCTCAGGAGGTGTAGGATATTAGAAAATGATCAACAGGTGTCCTCAAAATTCCATCTGCGCTTACGAGCTCCCTCTAAGAAAGCCCACCTAGCAGTCTGGGCTGTGGGGGGTGAGCCGCAAGGCAGAGTCAAGCTAATGTCATACTAATTACCCTTAGGTTACTCTAGGTCACTTTCTAAATCCTATCCTTCCTGGGCTGGAGAATTCCTAGATTGATAAGGCATTCCTTGCTTCTCCAGGTGTGGCAGCTGCTCAGGCTAGGATTAAGGGCAGGGCAGCAGAAAATGGAGCACCCGCCCTCATCCTTCTTCCCAGGTGGAACAACTGCTTGAGACAGCGCCGGAACAGGGAGCCTGAGTGCCAAGAAGAGCCGGAGATCCTAACTATTTGCTTAACAAAACCAGACACGTTCCCAGCCCTCGTTATTCCCCATAAGAGCATCTTCAAAACCCAACTGATGTTCACAACCCCTAAGGCTCATCACGTCAGCTGCCCTTCGACACATACACCCACTCACTGTGCCTCACCCAGGACAATAAAGTCCCCTCCTGATGGATGTGTCACAACGTACCCCCAAGTATACTGGGTGGTCATTTTCATACCTGTGCATATATTTCTTTGATAAAAAAAAAAAAATTTCTTTGAGACAGAGTCTCACTCTGTTGCCTGGGCTAGAGTGCCGTGGCATCAGCCTAGCTCACTGCAACCTCAAACTCCTGGGCTCAAGCGATCCTCCTGCCTCAGCCTCCCGAGTAGCTGGGACTACAGGCATGCACCACCAAGACTGGCTAATTTTTTCTATATATATTAGTTGGCCAATTAATTTCTTTCTATTTTTTGATACAGGCGGGGTCCCACTCTTGCTCAGGCTGGTTTCGAACTCCTGACCTCGAGCAATCCGCCCGCCTCTGCCTCCCAGAGTGCTATGATTACAGGCGTGAGCCACCGCGCCCGGCTCCATAATACATCTTATAATAAAATCTTATTGATCAATAGAAAGATCCTTTTAAACATACAAACTGGCATCATATACCTCTTGCACTGTTTGTCCTTGAGAACAAGGCCATATGCATCAAGTGGGTCCAACAGAAGCTAAAAGTGCCACAAAATCCTACATGACCCAGTGAACACGAATGATGCTTAATAGCAAATAGTGGCAAACCCCTGCCCATATTCAATAACGAGGACTTGATATTCTCCAGCATCAGAGAAGACCTGGCGGCTCGACTTCTCCCGACTCCGAAGCAGATGCTGAATGGAAGCCGTGGAGTGCCCACTGCGAGGCTGGGTCCTCAGTTGGGCCCATTTCTGCGACTGGAGTCAGGGTAATAAACTGCATCACCCCCTGTGAGGTCCAGGCATTTTAAATGTGGTGCAGCAAGTTGTTAAAAAGCTGACATTTCGAGGGGGCGGCGTCAAAGATAAAACAATAAAACCGACATTTCAAGAACCGACAGAGAGATGGAAAAAAGTTGAAGGCAAATGTGTTATGCTTTTGTTTTTATTTGCAATCCTAAGAGGGACATTTTTAATAAACCCTTAAATTCTTCTCCATTAATGTGATTTAAATAATGAATTTATAAAGATCGAATTGATTTGTTTACATACACCCAACTGTGGAAAAATGACTTTTCTGTTGTTGTTTACACCATCAAATCCAATCAAGCCAAACAAGATGGTTAACTAAAATGATTAATGAATGCAGCATTAGCTGATGGCTTTAAATTTAGAATGTGTTACTGATGTCAGGGTTGATTAGTTCTCTATCTAAAACTGATGCTATTAAAAGCTTTGAGCAATTTAGATGTTGTCATTGAGTAAAATTCCAATGGGGTGAGGGAGATTCTATCAGGATTGATTCCGCTACGGTGCACCACATGCACAGATGTCGCAGAGCGGGAGGGAGTGGGCCTTTACTGATGGAGTCGGCAGAAAGGACTTGAGACGGTGGGCTGATTGGGTGGCATCCATCACGGCAAAGGGAAGGAAGCTTGGAATGAAAGAAAAAAAAAAATACTCATCTTTGCACAAGGAGTCCCAAATGGCATCAGAGTATGAATATTGATCATTTCAGCTTCAGAACTTTTCAAGAAGTGGGGGGAAAAAATAAATGAAGGGGAGGCAAGAGGTTAACATAGCACCATGCTTTAGTAACTCCTCTGAAAATGAATCCACAGGGAAATCATTGTAGGCAGTGGTGGAGACCAACATTTTTATTAATCAGATAAAAGGAAAGAGTGGTAAAGCAAAGGTGATCATTGCATGGAATGATTAGGTGTCAGGGGCGGTTCAGGACCGAGAAAGCCAACTGGAGTGAGGATGCCAATCAAACTGCAAGGTCAGAGTCCAGCTAATTGAAGAATTGCCCTACTCATGCTTAAAGGTTAGAATGAATCCAATCCTGGTGGCTATTGCACAGGACTTGGGGAAATCAAGTTGTTGCAGGTAGCTGTGACTTTTGGAAGGTGTGTAATAGGGGACTTTAAGCCATTTCCCATGTCTGTGCCTTTGAAATATTTTATTATTAGTCCAAATGTCCCAAGGCATTTTAAATGGAAGGGAAAACGCACTTTACTGGACCCAAATTCACTGGCTATTTAGAGTCCATCACCGCCCAGGGGCCTGGGGAAGGGCATCTGTCAGTGGGTGATGAAACCAGAAGGTCCCGTAGTTACTCATGCAGCTTGGCTAACTCTAGGAAAAAGGCAGCAAATAACTTGGACCCCTCTATGTAGTTCCACCTAACAAAAGGAAAAAGAAAAAGAAACTGTTACAATTTCCATTCAAATGAAGGGGGAAAAATATTCTACCATTTATACAGAAAGATTTGATGTTATAAATTCAATCTAAAGTTTTTAACATGCTTCTGAGATCCCAGTATGAAAGGTGCTTGTTAAGAAGTTCAATGTGAAAATTGCAATATTATTAAGATAGAAATCAGTACTTGACTCAAATCCAAAAGGTCCATTTCCCTTGGTGTCTTATCATTGCCAGGACATGGATATCGGGGTCAAACACTTGCTTACCACTAGCCTGGGAGGCTCAGGAGATTTGCACGATCTGCCAGTCATGTACACATCAAATATTCCTAAGTATCCTTTGTTATGGACTGAATGTTTGTGTTTCCCCAAACGCATATGTTGAAGCTCTAATCCCCAGTGTGCCTGTCTCTGGAGATGGGGCCCGGAGGAGATGCTGAGGGTTAAATGAGGTTGGAAGGGCGGGTGCTAATGCAACAGGGCCCGATGCATGTGTCGTGTTCATGCACCCAGTCTAGCATTTTCCGCTCTCACATACGCCAAGTGGGGGATGGCCCGTGCCCAGCCCCGGTTTGTGCGGGGAGGACCCAGCCCCCGGCCAGCAAACGCGCACCTGTTGATCTTCTCGTTCTGAGAGTGTTCTCCGTCATCCACAGCTCCTATCGGGAGCATCATCACACTCTTGCCGATAATCTCCTGGAAAATTCTGGCGATTGGAATGGTCGACCCGTCCCGGATCATGTCTGGGTCTGTCCCAAACACTGAAACACAGGGGAAGAGGACATTTGAGTCAAACAATGACAAGATGACCCCAGTAATCTCCTCAAGCGCAGTGTTTGCTTATCCTTGTCTTCTTTGTCCTTCTTCTTCCTGTTTCTTTTTCTTCTTCACCATTAGATTCGGTGCCTGGGGTAAGCGAGCTCCTTGCCATCATGCAACCTTACATTCTAAAACACTCAGTAGAGTCAAGAAGGAAACTGTGGATGCCTTCTTTATGATTACCTACTTTAAAAAAAGTTATTTTAAATAAAATTTTATTTTGAACTAAGTTTTTAGAAGTTTAGAACTTAGAAAAGTTGCAAAAATAGTACAAAGTGCCCATATATCCCTTACTCTGCCTTCCCTAATGTTAACATCTCACATAACTATTATACAACAATCAAGAAGAGGAATTTCACACGGGCACAATATTATTAGCTGCACTCCGGACTTTCTTTGAATTTCACCCATCTTTCCCTTTTTCTGTTCCAGGATCCAACCCGGCATCCCACACTGCATGTTACGATTGCTTCTCCTTGGGTTTCTTTTAATTCTGTGACAGTTTCTCAGTGTCTCCTTGTCTTTCATGAGCTTGGAACAGCTTGAAGGGTATCGACCAGTAGTTTTGTGGAATGTCCCTCATTTTGGGTTTGTCTGATGTTTTCTTGTGGTTGGAATAGGTCATGCGTTTTTGGTAAGACATAAGACAATACCTACTTTTATGGTTTCTTCATGAATTAAATATTACGGAAATCGGACTTTTTAAAGTTTTTTGATAGAAGATGTAGACAAATAAGTAGTTGTACTCACTATCACCAGAATGTCACAGCATTTCTCCCAACTTTCAAGGTATCTGATAAAACAGTTTTAACTGCTATCCCAGGTTCTAGAAAGAGAAGAGCTCAAACCTAGCTTACTGGACAAGCAGCCAGGGATGGAGCAGAAGTGAAAAACAAAACAAAGAAACAGAAGAGAACATTCCACCTCTGTATTCACAAGGCACGGTGTAAACGTGGACACGGGTGACCGACCCCATCAGCAGCACTGGCTTAGCCCGCACGTGGACAAAACGGCGTCTCACGTCTTCCCGCGGGAGAGTCTCAGACCTCTTCATTGTTGCTTACCTTGACACGCCAAACACACCTGTCTCCCCAGGAGGCATCACATTCGCCTTCCAGACTCCTCGTCCTCTTTCCTCCACTCCCAAATTCTCCCAGTAAAACACCTGCTACATTGCGGGGAGCGGGAGCGATGATGTGGAGAAGTTGGGCTTTCGTACTTCCCAGACTTGTTCTCTAAGGGGTCACATCTGTGTTCTTTGCACTGACACCCAGCAGAGAGCTAGTGCTTGCAGGGGGTCCGGGCTCCCAGCCCCAGCTCTTGCTCCGTGAGCAGTGTGGGCTCGGCCCGTAGCTGCCATAAAATGCTGCAGGTCTGTATACACACGCCACTGTGGTCCCACCCAGCTTTTGGGAAGACCCCAAAACTCCTCCATTTTGCCGTTGGTGGCAGGGCCCCCTCCTGTCGCAGAAGCCACAGAGACTGGATGTTCCTTCTCCTCGCCCCGCAGCCAGTGCCCACGGGATTTCCCTTACTTTCGTACAGGTCAATCTGTGCTTTGAAAGGATGTTTTTATATGGCGACCAACATTTCCATGAGCGTTGCCTCGGGAGCGTTTGGAGGTTTTCTAGCTCAGCATTGTCCCCCAAATTCAGGTCTCCAGACTTCACTTTGAACCCTGTCCTTGCCACTCAAAGACTGGGAGCCTTTCCCCAAACGACTTCGTTTTTTTGAGCCTTAATGTTTTGCTCTGTACGACGGGGAGGGCTGTTGGGAGGATCACGTGAGACGGTGTATAAAGTGCCCTGTGCAGGGTGTGCATTCAAAATACGCCCTTTATAGAAGCCGATAAATTTGAGTTTTTACCAAATGTCCCATGGGCACCACTCCTCGGTCCCACAGCAAACTGGCAAGTCAAAATATCTTAAGGTCCCACCTGTTCTGATCGCTCGTTTGGCTGCAAGATACTGGTTATCGCTGATGTTTGCTATCCACGGGGGCAGTCCTAGCACCATGGAAACGGCCATGTGGTTGGAACTATTTCTTTTGGAGAAAACGTCTTCAAGATGATGCTTCACCTAAAAGGTGACATTTTCAGTAGTCAGAGAGATTTTCGAGTTATTCTCTCCAGTGGTTAACGCAGCTCCCGTCAAGAGACTGATTGAACCCCGAGTGTTATAAACTCACACGGTTTGCCAGAGGGAGATCCCTCTGCAGGGCTGAGGGCAGGAAGCCCCAGGCTTCCCCCTGTGGGAGAAACACTCTCTTGCTCCCCCTGTGGTCCTCTGCCCTGCCGCCCCAGTCCTGGCTCCCACCCCCTTCCCACCGGTGTCTCCCACACAGAGGTGTTGGAGTAACGTTTGCTGAAAATGATGAGCCGTCGTAATACAAGCAGGACATCTCAATGGAAATAGCCCTGTTTGGGGACTTATCAGTACCCCAACGAATATTTTGGGAGCATTAAGCACTTGAGAAATTTCCAAGAAGTGGGAGCAATTTGGGGCTGGGCCGTGGAGGAGACTTGTTCTAACATCCTTCCCGCTACCCTGTCTCTCCTTCCCAGTTGCTGCTGTGCAAACGCTCCCGGGGAGAGCTCCGTGCTCAAGCACGTCCCCCACGTGTCCTCCAGCCAACATTAAGGAACATCCGGGAACAGCCAGGGACTGCTCCAGGTGCGCAGATACACCGCGGACAGGCAGGCAGGGCCCCGCCCTTGTGCAACTTATACGGTGTGGAAGGAGGCAGCACGGCCCAAAAGAGTAGAGATGGAAGGACGCTTGTTACCTGCTTTTCCACCACAGAGGCACTCATGTGGGGGACGAGCCGGATGGAAAACTTCCCTGTGACTCGGCCAGGGATGACGGTCTTGGCCCCGGGCTCGTCAAACGCACCCTCGATCCCGTGAATAGAAAGAGACGGGTACCTCCACAGGTGCATGAGAATTTCCTCCTGCGTTAAAATAAAAGTACCCAATAGAATCTTTAATCAAAACTCGGTTGCATCGCCTCGTAGAGTATCGCTTGTATTCCCAGCCTCTGTCCATCTGAGACACCACCTCGGTACGTTAATTATCTCCTTGCAAAGCTCCAGGCGCCACCATGTCTTCGCTGATGACACCAGTTGGACGCTCCCCCAGGACCCAAACCTGCCCGCTGTCCTCCACACCCCCACCCCCCACCCCCCGCGGCTGGGCACGCTGCTTCCCGCCGAGAAGCGCCCGTTTTGCCCGAGCTCTGCAGTTTGCAGTTAATAGATGGCAAGAGGGGCCCTTTCAGAAATTTGGATTTGATTATGTGATGGGATTGAGACGACTGGGACTCAGGGATTTAGCCCTGTCTGAGGCTGCGAGAGGAGAGGAGGTGAAGGAATTGCCCGAGCAGAAGCCTGGAATACGTGCAGACGTTAACTGCCTAGTCGGGGGCCATATGTCAGCGGTCTGGGAGTACAGCAAAGCATGCTCCAACCTCAGAGCCTCGGGGGTCTCACGCATGAAAAGCCGCAGGCGGCCTGACACGGGAACTCCTCACGGCTATAGAGGTAGGTTGCAATGTGTCAGCCCAGGAGAAGGGTCTCAAGGCTTCCTCCATAGTGTTTGCACCCTGGGCCAAGTTCCTTCTCTCCCTTTCTCTCAACCATGCCTCAGACATAGCATCCCTAAGTCCCAGTGGTCTTAATCCCATCAATTATGAATTCCCATCCCCAATCAATGCAATAACTGTGCACTAAATGCATTTTATCATGCAGAAGACTTCGAAGAACTCTTGGGATGTTTAGCCGGTTTTCTGCCTTCTTACGGCCGTCCCAGAGCTAGTCCGAGGGAAGGTGCGCTTCGTGAAAATAATGCTGCCAGCTCTTTTCAGCACGATTCCCCCTCCCTCGGCAGCTCCCCAGGAATCAGCCATAGCTACCAAACACCCCATCGTCAGGCAGGCATTTTACAAAGAAGGAAGAGAAGTAGAAAAGAAAAAAAAATCTCAGTTTGCCAGCAAGGAATGCTTTTGGCTTTGTGTCTACTGAGCACGCTGAGGCAGCAATGTATTAATTTACAGAGCAGCCCCAGAGGCTCTGGGTTTTGTCTGGAAAAATCAACAATTACAGATCTTGGAGCTAACATAACCTCAGACTCCTCAGTCTTTGAACAGGTAAGAAGCCCTGGGCTGGGATTTCGGTGAGTAAACTGCTCTGGGAAAGCACGGCTATGAAATGGGCAGCTGCTCGCCGTGAGGGGCCAGCGAGCGGGACCCCAGAAGGGCTGGTTGACCGAACCCATAGGAAAGTAGCCATGAATGTCAGACTCTGCCTAGGAATTAACACCGGCTTGGGGTTGTAAGACGCATGGAATTAGCACCAGACGGTACAGGAGACACGTGTTATCGTCATTCCTCTTTCCGATTATCCACCAATCTGTGGCCGTACCTTTGTATCGAACAGAAATTTCTTAACCTGGCTGCTATTCCGGTATTCTTCTAGGTCCAGATCGATGGATTTGTATATGTTTTTTTCCTCCTCTGTAAGAGATGCCACGTGGTCATAGATTCCAGGGATTAGGATATGACCGGACGAGTCTACGAGGCTACCTGCAAAACACACACAGAAAGCAAAGCCAGGTAGAGATTACGAGCGTGCTGACGTTGCGGCCACAGAGCCAGACTGCAGGTGACCCTTCTGGGCAGCAGCAAGCCCCGTGACTGTCCCTGGTCCCCACGGGTCAGACTCGAGTTAGTGTTCATCTTGTCGAGGTGGGGCAGAAAACACCTGGGACTGAAGTAGATTAAGTCAGAATGACTTACCTGGACCATGTTCAAGTTCTCAACTATAGCTTTGGTTTGTTGTTTAGCTTTGTCTTATCCTGACTTAAAAGGTAATGGGTGTTCATCATAAAATACATATGTACATGTGCATATGCATGTGTACACATGCATACCTGAGAAACTGAACATTTCCATCATCCCTTCCTGACTTCTCTCCCCCTACACACACAAGCGATGATAATATAATACATGCTCATTTTTAATCAAAATCATAACACCCCCGAGGTCTATAGAATCACACCATGACCGCAAAATCCTTTATAATGGATAAGCATATACATGAGTCTGCTCCTCAGAAAAGAGTTTGAGGGCTAATAGGAATGGAAGAAATCATCAATGAGTACATACAAAAGAAGCAGGTGCTGAGATTGAGTAAACACCACTCACTACCTGGAGAAAATACTCAGCAAAGATGAAATGCAACCAGGAAGTAAACTGATACAAATGACATGAGAATGTCTCTGGGGCCGATAAATAAATCCTCACCGACAATACAATCACGAAATCTTCCCTCGAGTCCCTAAGCTTCCGCTGACAGTCTTCTAGGTAGGGACGGAGCTGCAGGAATGAGTAAGAGGCACAGGTGCTCAGAGTCCAGCGGAAAGACAGGTGCAAAGACACACGTGGGCGGCAGGTGAGCCCTGCAGGAGCTAAGGGGCAGGAGCTAACTCAGCAAGACTTTGGCATTTTTGACAGATAGATTTGTTCACTGCAGGCACCACACTCAGAGTGCCCCCCCCCACAGCCAGGAGGCTCACGTTCGTGTTAGGAAACAGAACGGTGACATTTTAGCTGGTGTGCCGGGCGCTGTCCCTCGGGTGGCGGTGACTCGGTGTCTGCGGTAAGCGGGGCCGTGCTGTCCGGGGCTGGCTTTCTAAGCACTCGGGGCTCTTCCCTAGTGGAACGGCCCAGGCCCTGGTCCGCAGCGTCATTTGAAATTACGATTTCATCTCCTCAGGGTGCCAGGCAGCCGTCCCCGCTGCAGGCCTGGGAGGAATGCGGGTGGACACCCACATCCTGACAGAAGAGGAAGGGGGTTTGCTCACTTTCCTGTCACATTTAATCACTGTCAGAGAAACTCGGTTAGAGAGAGCTAAGGAGCGCGGCTCGGTCTCTCCGGCCCTGCCCGAAACCCCGTCGCAGGGAATGCGGCGCGGGCAGACGCCGCAGTCTGTGCCGCGCAGCAATGATTCTGCTCTGCACCTGCTATGCTCCACTATGCTCCACGTTCTTCCGCCCTAGTTCTTTACTACTGAGAGCGTCTGCCCGAGGACTGGATGCTTAAGAACGGATCCCCTCCCCTCCTGCTCATTTTGCACTCGAAATCATTATCCTCTGAATGCCATTTCTAGCCACCACCTCAGTCCCAGGCAACACATGGCGGGCAGAGGGTGCCTTCGAAAACTGCCTCAGGAAACTGGACCCTGGATCCCCAGGAGCCGGCTTGGAATTTTAAAATTTTAAATAGCATCGGATATTTGGTGCTTGCTGAAATGTCCTCAGTTCTTTCCTGCTTTGTGTCTTTTAGGGAAATGCAGCAGGGCTGGGAAAACGTCTGCAAGGGGGCAAGCACGGGTTATCGGTCTGTTTGCAAACACGAGCATCCCCCACCCACCTCCCGCCTCCCTGGCATGCTTGGTTTTACGCGTCTTTGCAGACAGGGACGCGCTATCTGACTGCACTCCTACCCCCTAGTGGGGATTATCGTGCATGTCTCACAGTCGGAGCCCGGCAAGCGTTCATCGCCTGTTTGTGGTCACGGTACCCATCGGGATGGCGCGGACAGACGAGGACCTTGAAGGCCAGAGAGGTTAGGAGACTTGCACAAGGTGGGACAGTGGGACTGTCCCCTGGAGTCCTGGCTTCCCCACAACGGCCCAGAGTGACAGCAAGCAAAGTCCCTGCTTGTCCCTGATAAACGCTACCGTTTATCAGCCCTGCGTCCTTATGCTTTTGTACAAAGCAGGGGAAACCACATAGCGGGCACTGATTATTTGATTTGTGCCAAAAACTACAGAAAGTACAGCCACGTGCTTTCCATCCCACTCGTGACCGTGATCTGACTCTTCCTTGGCAGAACAACGTGCATTTGGGGGGCTAGCAGGACCCCCCTGCCTGCTGAGGCCGCACAGTCTAAAAAGAGGTCAGGCAGCAGCCGCGCCTGGGGGAGTCGGAAGCTGCTGCCGAAGATCTGATGATGCCGTTCCTAGCGGAGAGAGGATTAGTTCGGGTAAGGTGGAAAGTTAACCTTTTTCCAAAACAATATTCACATGCATGCTCTCTGAATTCTCCTGGGAGGTTACCTAAGTTCTCTGGTGCTTGGCTTTCTCATTTGTAAATGGAGCACGGTCCTGCATTTACCTCGTGTTGCTTTGAGGATGCAGTAAGAGGACACGCCCCGTCACTCGCACCCAGAGCCTCTGAGCCGGGCTGGTCTGCAGAGGGGACTGTCAATAACACGAGTGGCTTTGTAGGTGGAGGCCTCACCTGGAGGGGTGTCACCTCATTCCTCTCCCCTCTGGGCACCCCTTTGTTGGTTTGTCTTCAGTGAAAAAGCCCTGCGGGGTCTGCTGAAGCTGAACTTGTAGTCCCGCTGGCTTGGGAATCCCACCCCACCCGTCCCGGTTCTGGGAGCAACCGAGCGGGAGCCGGAGGTGGCCTCTCGGTCCGGTGCGTCCTCTGGGTCTCCACCCTCTTGTCCTTGTGCGCGGCAGGGTGTGTCACACTATCCAATGACAGAAAAAGGGGTGGATCGAGGAAGAGATTCCGTCCGTAAGAGAAATGCCGGGGACGTGACGATAAGTCTCGCAGCAGTTAGCCGAGGGGAGGAAAAGCTAAGAACTCGGTTTTTCCGCTGCGACATCCTTATTCGGAGCCGGCTCACGCCCCCGAGCGGGAGAGACACTCGGAGACAAACAGACCTGTGTTTGGCACACCTCCTGACGCTTAAAGAGTGACATAAACTGAGGCATTACCAAGAAGAGCGACCAGATCAGCCATCGGTTCGTTAAGGATGCCACCGAAGGTCCCCGAGTGGAAGTCCTGGTCTCTGCATTTCACCTGTGAAGCAGGGAAAAGAGGAGAGACACATCGTCACTGCCTGGGCTCCCTTGGCGATGGCGTTGTGCAGGGTGGCTGGTGTGTCCCCCAGAACACAACCCTGCGTCCTTATGCTTTCTTTCCGTGAAGCCTCCACCCTGTCCTCATCTTCATTCCCGCCGTCCCCTGACCCCCGAGACCCCCTGCGTCTCCAGCCATCCCACTAACCAGGTCCCAGCCAAGGCCGCCAGGCCCTCCTTGGCCGAATGATGGGAGCTTGCGCCGTGGTCTTCCTCCCGGTTTCACCCGCACTGCTGACCGTCCCTCCCTCTGGAGAAACTCCCTCTCTCTATGGTTTCCTTGCCTGCAGGCCAGGTCTCTTACTTAATACGGTCCTCTGCCAGCGCCTGCTCCTCCTCCCACCTCCCCAGCCTCACCCGCGGCGTGTCCTGCCTCTGTCCACGCGGCTCCAGGAGCTCACGTGAACTTCGCACAGCCCGGCGCTCATCCCTGTCGTCCGACCTTTCACCTGAACACCAGACCCGAAAGCAGGCACTGACCCGGCGTCTGATCAGGCAATCTCCTTACCTCCCTGCCGCTCCTGCCTCCAAATTCCACAGCCATAGCTCCTAAACCTTTTGCACTGTGGCTCACAAACCCCTATGAACCCTCTTAATGCACAAAGCACAACCACCGCAAGTTTTGGAGGGTTCACGAACTCCCCAGACCCCGAGGCCTCTGTGACCTCCCACTGCCCAAGGCCGTGTGTCCCGGGTAAGGACTCTGCTCCTGGAAGCACCTTCTCTCTCTCGCTCTGGGGGGTCCCGGCACGGGGTCCTCGCTGTATTATGCACAGCCCCGTGCCTCCCTGCACTCCCGCGGGCAGATACCTCCACCGTGAAGTAGCTGTTCCCGCGAGTGCCGTAGGTGACCGCGGGCTTCCTCCAGCTGACCCACAGGTTGTCTGAGATCAGGATGTAGTCCACGCCAGCGAAGAACCGGTCCTTTTCTTTCTGCACAAGTTCCTCCAGGGCGACAGACCCGGCCTCTTCCATCCCTTCGAGGATGAATTTGATGTTCACAGGGAGATCCTGAGTTAACCATGGAACAAAACAAACAAACAAAAAAACAGTTGCAAAACTTGCCCATTCACATCTTGAGATCCAAGATCCGTTTGTATATACTATAAATACATTACATTATTATTTTATTATTTACATTCCCAACAGTTCTGCTCACAGCAGTGGAGTTTTAGGTAAGACTGTGAAGAATTCAAGGTAACATGGCCCATCGCTCCGAGGTCATGGTCAGGGTTGGGGGAAGGAATTCCTGCAGGAGAGGCAAGGTCCACCCTCAGCGCCTCGCTGTGCTCCTACAGAGGGAGGCATTTTCCTCCTCCTCCCAGAAGGAATTTGTCAAGAAAGGTTACTCGATTACAAATCGCTTTTCTGTCCTCATAATTCCGAGCATGATAAAGGAGAACTTTTGCCTTTGAAAGATGGTTAAGCCTTGGGATAACGTTTACTTCAAGTATCTGTTATTTTTCAGCTACGATTTCCATCTGCCTTTTAACTTATTCAAAGGGCTTTGATCTTGCAGCAAAATGGGACTGGAGTTTTTCTCTAGTTAACATGAGGGCATGGAATAGCTCCTTTAAAATTTTTACAGCATGCCTGTCCTCCCATTTGGTTTTGATCTTTTGTATCTTTATAATTTATAACTTCTAGCCGCAGAAGGAGCAGAGAGAGGTCAAAGTCCTTTCCGAGCGCACAGAGCATCAGTTCTCCATCAGTTCCAATGAGCGGGATTGGCTCGCCACAGATCAACACGTGCAAAGTGGGCAGAGGATTATGTATTAGAAAACAATGAATTATGTCATAATTAAACTCAGAAAATTGGAGATCTACTTGGATAAGGGCACTGTTGGATAATGATTTGTTCGAATGTAGCACTTGCTGGTCTGTGTGTCTTAGCAAGTTGAGCTGAAGTTCTAAAAACTCAATGTTCGAGAGTTCTGTATCAACATTTCAACTAGCAAACAATTGCTGGGAAGTGGTTGGAAATCCTAAGGCTTCTCTGGCAAATCTCGTTTAATAAAATAGAAACCAACAGCTACTCAGCGTCGGAGGAGGCAGCCAGATGTGCGCCTTGGTTGCCCCTCTGCACCGCACACCTGGGGACTGGAGGACTGCATGAGCCGAGGCTTCTCTCCCTGTGGAATGCGGATGTCAGCACCCGCCCCGCCTCTTGGGGATCAGGGAGGTGTGCATGCCCAGGTGCGGTGGGCAAGGCAGGAAGCCGGGGAGAGAAGAATGAGCTGACCTTCCCAAAGGACCTGGGCCCCCCAGAGTGCCTTTGCGCTGTTTCCTCATTGCTCATTGCAATAAGCCTATGGGTAGAAATTACCTTCCCAGTTCACAGATGAGGAAAATGAGGCTTAGAGAGACTAACTGACTCGTCCAAGGGCAGTGAGCATTTCTCATGTTTTGTTTGTGATTACATAACTTTCAGAGTTGAAATTTAAAATGCAAAGCAGATTTTGGCCTTTATATAGGAACTATCTTATCAATATTGCTTATCCCTGGAAAGAAAGGAAGGAAAGTAGAAAAATGAAGGAAGAAAGGAAGGAAACAAGGAAGGAAGGAAGGAAGGAAGGAAGGAAGGAAGGAAGGAAGAAGAAGGAAAGGAAAGAGAGGGAGGGAGCCGAGGGAGGGAGAGGAGAGAAGGTATACGAAGGAAGGGAGAGAGGAAGGAAGGAAGGAAGGAAGAAGGAAGGATGGAAGGAAGAGGAAGGAAGGAAGGAAGGAGAAGGGAAGGAAGGAGAAGGGAAGGAAGGGAAGGCAAGGGAAGGGAAGGAAGGGAAGGAAGGAAATGGAAGGAAGGAAGGTGGAGGGGAAGGGAGAAGGAAGGAAGGAAGGAAGGAAGGAAGGAAGGAAGGAAGGAAGGAAGGAAGGAAGGAAGGAGAAGGGGAAGGGAAGCGAAGGAAGGAGGGAGGGAGGGAGGGAGAGAGAGAGGGAAGGAAGGGAGGGAGAGAAAGAAGGTGGGGGAGAGAAAGAACTCAAGGCCACCTTGAATGTTGGCACCTTTTCGGGTGCGAGTGAGTGTCGCAGGTGAGAAGACAGAAACCGGGTCTGATTTTGGCGCCTGCCTTTCTCTGTGAGATAGAGGAGTCAGCTCACATGGGCAACTCCCCTCTCGTCCACTTACGGCTCAGGAGAAAACAAACTCCTGGGTGAGAAGCTCCTGGCATCTGATGAAATACCGTCCAGGAGGAGCCACCCATAGCTCGGGGCTGCTCTGAAGGACGGGGTTTGGGAGAGGCACCCAGAGAGCCGAGCCGTGAAGCGCGGGCGATTCGGTGAGTGTTTTATCTGTCCCTCAGGACGGCGTCAGAGATGCACCCCTGCTCTCAGCTGGGTCTTGCTCTGCGGCTCAACTGGAGTGCAGTGGTTTGATCCCCTCACCACAGCCTCAAAAGTCTTAAATTCCTGGGCTCAAGCTATCCTTCCACCTCAGCCTCCTGAGAAGCTGGGACTGCAGGTGCTCACATTCCCAGCTAATTTTGGGGGGGGGGGCGAGGAGGACAGAGTCTCACTCTATTTCGGCCCAGAATGAGTTCCGCGGCTGCGTCAAGTCCAGCTCAATAGCACAACCTCAAACTCCTGGGCTGCAAAGGCAATCC